GGTGAGCGTGGCTGGCGGAAAAAGATAAAAATCTCTAGGCCCGATACGATCTGGTAACTGGTAGATGGGGCATTCCACGATAGATCGTACCACTTTTTTCCAATTTGACACCCTCATCTCTCGGAATTTGACGAGAATTGGTCTCAGGGGTAATCAGGGGCTCTGAATCCACCTGTAACAATTTCAGGCTTATCAGATAAGTATTTTTGAGTTATGGTGTATAACATTTTTTGGATCTTGCTTTGCAGCGCTAAGTTTGGCGGGCTGTAACTCTAAGACGGATTATTCAAATGCCAAATGTTATATAAGATTGAACTTGCAATAAAACAGAAATTAATATGTATTTTTGAAATTCCGAAAAATACGCTATTTTTGATATATGACATATCGAGTTTTCTTTCATTTGTATTTTTGGACTTTGGGACCAAATTTTTTTTGAATTTTTATTTCTTTAAAAAAATATTTGGCTCATTGTTAAGAAGTATGCAAAAAATTAGGAAGGTGTTCTTTCTATAAATGTATTCATTTTACGTCACGATAACGGTTTCGAATAGTGATTTCGGGAGGGGAGCTTACAAATGGCGTGGTAAAGCTGCCTAGTGACATCACGGGTTACTGAAATTTCAATTTAAGTCTGAGTCATCTGAAAAAAAAGTGAAAAGAGGGTTCATCCAACCCTCTTTCCTATAAGCGCGAGGGTGAAAAAGGCTGTTTGGTTCTGACATTGTTTTGGACGCCAATGACCATAGCTGTCCGAGATGAAAGTTACAGGACGCATACATGGTGTCCTCCAGAGGTCTCACAACTTGTATATCTGGGAATTTTTCAAGGTTACATGAGGTCATGTCGGTCACGTGACATCACTGTTATAAATCAATGGGAAAATATAAAAACTGTTATTTTGGCGCCGAGAATGATCTAAAACTATCCCACGTACATGGTATCGTGATTTCATGCACTCCTTGCAAAGTCCAATGCTTTACTTTTGCATTGTTAACCTTGCGTGACGTCATTTATGACGTCACTAGGGTCGTACGAGTTTTTCGTCAATAACTCCCGATCAAATGAAGCTAGAGAGTCGGGAAAGCCACCAATGGACTCGGGAAGACCTTTCGAATCGAATGATATGCCATATGATACCCTTTGCCCAGCTTCGTGACCTGAGGGGCTCTGACCTGACCTTGACCCGAGGTCAACTACTTAAGTTGACCTCACCCTAGTAAAAAGTATACCATTCGATGCACCTGAGCTAGGCGAACACAATGATACCAAAATCGCGGTTCTGCAACAATTTTGCGAAGTTATTTACTAAACACCGAACCCGTACCTAACTTCAGTCACGTGACCTGGGGTCGTATCAACCCCTCCGAAACCCATTTTGTTTGCGGGAAAATGAGAAACTTATAGAAAGAACACCTTTCTAATTTTTTGCATGTCGATTTGCAATGACATGAAGTTTATTTTGAAAAAATAAAAATGTGAAAAATTTTGGTCCCAAAAGTTATTAGAGGCAAATGAAAAAAGGTTAAGGTTTTTGCTCAACAATGAATTTTTTTCTTTGGAATTTTTAAATAGTAATATTAATTTTTGATTCATCGCAAGCTTAGTGTTGTTTACTTTTTGTTGGTTGCTTAAGCCGTTCTTGGGCTATAGGCCATCAAACTCACCGTTATACATACTGAAGTTAAAAATATGTAATGCAATATAACTCAAAAAGTTTTGATCTGAGAAGTCTGATATTTTGCCAGGCGTCTTTGGGGCCTATGATTACCCCTAGGACCGATTTTCATTAAAATCTGAGAGATGAGGGTGACGGGCCTGGTACGATCTATCGTGGAATGCCCCAGATCGTATCGTGCGGATCGTGCGTATCGTGTGGGAGTCTGCGTCCGCCAATACTGCCGGCGGTGATAAATAAGAACGAAATAAATACTTTTTACGCTTGAAGAGACGTTAAATGTAGTTTAAAACATCTCTCTAATTCAATAATTTAGTTTGAATAGTCGGGTCTGACTGTTCCGTGAAGTTAATCAACATTTCGGCTTGATTGGAGCAGCATGGCGGCGGAAACCATTCTCGGCCGTGGAAGGTACGCGATTTTGAAAATGCGTGGAAAAATAGAAAATCATGTCAAATTGTCCTGGAAAGTAACCTACAACCTAAAAGTGAGTATTGTGAATGCTGTGCATCGGTTTTCTTGAAAATCGGTTCGTTGAAATTGACAGAAATTCATTGGTAAGATATCTATGTACCACCTCCTGCCACCTCCGGTAACTTATACGGCCTTGACCTCCGGTGTCGCCGGTAAATCGCCGGTCACCACGAGGCTTGCCGGCTCGGCAAAGCGCAGGCGCACAGATGACGTCATCTGGGGGAAGCGCGTTGATTGGCCGCCGTGAACGGGGCGAGATCTATAAAGAGGGTAATTAATACTTTTCAGACTTAAAAAGAGGTTAAATGTAGTTAAAACATTTCTTTAATTTAAGTATCAAATTAACATTATCAGGTGAGGCTTTTTCGTGCAATAAAATTAATACTTTGATGTAATTGACGCACCTGAACGAAACAATGATTTTTCGTATGGTATCTATGCAGCACAGCGAGTTCCCCACACGATGTCAACTGTACGATACGATCGAGACAAAAGATAAACTCAATCCATCTTTCGACGGAACGCACTACGACGTACGATCTGCCGCTACCGAACGACGCGCACAGTCACGTTTTTTCCCGGTTCTCACTGCACACATACGATTACCATCGCGGCGATCGGGAAACGGGCGTGCCGATCCCCATCCCATCACCATACGATCACGATACGATCACCATACGATCCACCAAAACGATCGAAAAACGGCAGTCAGAACCGGGCTATAGCAGCTCTCCAGAAGAATTTGTAGTCTACCTTAGACTTTGAAACGTGCCTCTTTAGTGGTTGCCTTTCCCAAGCTGCATATCCCCAATTGACCTCATTTGCGCGGCATTGCGGTGCTAGCAGCGTGTTCCGGCGTTCAATTTGCTCAGCCCGTGTAGACTCGACAGGGACTTATGGAAGTGGCGGTCTGGGTATTTCCGCTCCATCCGGATCTGGTATCCAGGTGGCACGCGGCGCTATCCCCCTGGTTTCAGCCCCTCGGAAATACTTGAAACGGAGAGCCGCCCTGAAGTGACGCACGACTACCGTGCAAGGCTCTGCACAGTGGCCGAGAGAGCCTAATCCCAGAAGAGCAAGATCATGACGCTAAGCGCATCGGGCGCACATGAGGCCACGAGCACACTTACGTACACATGCAAATGCACAAACATACACACATACACATGCGAACGCATTCCACGGGGTACAGCGTACTACATACGGGGTGAGGATTCGCTGAGACTCGTATAGCGCAGGCTGTGGCGTGGACGGTAAGACTGGACGAGCCAAAACTCCACATCGTTGAGTCGAAAAGCTAGCTAGATTCAGCCCAGCAACTGCTTTGCACGGGGTTATATGGCGACTGACACCACGACACCGACACCGACAGACCAATACTGGCAAAACACCTTATAATATGCACTGACACGACGCCGTTGTATACGGAGCCCGTTCAGCCAGCGCATAGACGGCACCGAGGCCAAAAGCAGTGCCGCAGACATTCGCTCCAACACTACCGCCAACACCTGCTACACACCAGCAGCAACAACACCAGTATTTGCATTGGCTCTGGCACCAGGATCAACACCATACACAGCACTGAAAAGCCAGTAGTGATTTTATGAAGTGGAGGATAAGTTAGGTGTTATTGGCGTTTGTTGTTTATGCCGAAGGGCACACATTTGTCGATCTTTGAGATAAGACAACTGCCGAGGGTTCATAGCTCTGCTGCCCTAATACTCGTAGCATTCTTTACTCATCGGCAGCATCTGACAGATGGTAGCGAATGGCTCGAGCTGCTCCGTTCTGCCCGTGGTGAGTCTTATATCGCGGCGAACAGACTGGCGCGACGCGCAAGGAGCTGAAAAATGAGCTGATGAGCTGAAAAATGAGCTGCTGTCAATGAACTGCTGCCCGTGGGTGGTCGATAGTCGATAGCTGGAGCAGCTGCTGCTAGGCGGAAATATTGCCGAGGGAGGATGAATGGTCTGCTCGTGTTACCACTGCACGGTCGGACCGGTGCAGTCCAGGGTATATTGGATGAATGGGTGCCCACACTTCGTGACAGCGAACCAGCCGCCTACCCTCTGGAACGGAGTCATCGGGTCACTCCGACAAACTTTCACGGGTGAAATTCACCCGTGAGTCCGTCTGGAAAACTCCATACCGCTCTGCGCCGCCCGTCCCACAAAGTCAGCATTATTGAAAATATATATTTGGTATAAAAATGTAAAATGCTCTGTATAAATATTGTGTACAATAAATACGTAGCATGTGTCATGGAAATGCTTGCACTCGTTAAATACACCCAGCAACAAACATATGCCTCATGGTAATGCTGATCGCCGCCTGGGGCATCCCTGGATGACCTGCTCTGGCGGAGGGTGTCACTGACACCCGATCAGAGGCGCTATCATATGGACCAGTCCACCAGTCGAGCTCCTGACAGACCAGGAACGGTCTGGGCACCATGGCTCTCACATGAACAACAAACAAACAAACAAAAAACATCACCGTTCAGCTGTGAACACTGGTCACAGCTGATTCTGAGCTACGGGGACAGCCGATTACGCGAGTCCCTAACAGATCGAGACCGCAGACCATTGGCAGTCCACCGTTGGACCAGCATTGGACAACTGGTGGACCACAGACGGGTCGCCATTGTACCCAGGAGCGCGGGGCCAACACACGCACTGAGCATTGGTAGCTGACACTGTTACAGGAGCAACTGCCTGGCCCAGATACTGGACCAAACTACCGAAGGACCCCGCCGGGCCGTTGCGCGACAGTTTCTTTGGCGGCTGCTCGGACAGCGGAGGACCACCATCTGACACACGACGGCTGCTGCTCGAGGAGGTGGCCCTCGTCACGCTGCAGATGCGCTCAGGAGGAGCGCGCTCGCGCCGGGCCGGACTCCGGCGCCAGAGAGCGCGTCTCTTGCCGGAGAGGAGCGAGCCGCGGCGGCGTGGCAGGTCTTCAGGAGCAGCGCCGGTCGGGTCTTGGTCGGGTCGGTGGTGAAGTGCTCCGCGGGCCGGGTTTTCGTGGGGTCCGTGTCCAGCTGGAACATCGGACGAGTCTTGGTCGGATCAGTGGTAAATTGAACCACAGGCCGGGTTTTCGTCGGGTCTGTCTCGAGCTGAAGCACTGGACGGGTCTTGGTCGGGTCTGTAACCAACTGGAGCGCTGGTCTAGTCTTGGTGGGGTCTGTGGTGAGACGAAGCATCGGTCTGGTCTTGGTAGGGTCGGTAGTGAACTGAAGAATCGGCCGGGTCTTCGTTGGGTCGGTGATCAGGTAAATCACTGGCCTGGTTTTCGTAGGGTCGGTAATGCGCTGGAAGGCCGGCCTGGTCTTGGTCGGGTCTGTTGTCAGCTGAAGCACTGGCCTGGTCTTGGTAGGGTCTGTGTTACACAGAAACATGGGCCTGGTCTTGGTTGGGTCGGTGGTCAGCTGCAGCACAGGTCGAGTTTTCGTGGGGTCTGTGTCGAAATAGAGCACAGGCCTCGTTTTGGTGGGGTCAGTGATCAGCTGAAGCACCGGCCTGGTCTTGGTGGGGTCCGTGGTGGTCTGCACCACCGGCCTGGTCTTCGTGGGGTCTGTCTCCAGAGACAGAGCCGGCCGAGTCTTGGTCGGGTCCATACCGAACTGAGACACTTTGCACGTCTTGCTGGTACCCGCCCCCATTGACGGAATCACTGCTGTCACGGCCATCGCTCGCTGCGCGCTGTTCGGTGCCGAGTCTAGGGATGGTTGCTGTCGCTCTGACCTCTCGGCTGTTACTGGTCTTACGGCCCGCGGCGCCGCTTATATAAGGTGTCCCTGCGAGCTCTATCGCTGACGTCAGCACGGCAGGGTTGCAGCTTGTTCCATGAGCACAGCTCGGGCGGGTTTACCCGGCGGCCGGCCACAGGTGGGGGCGCGCGGCGCGAGACAGACACAGACGGGCCGATAGCCGCCGACGGCTGAGTCACGCGCGCGCGCCGCCGCCTGCCCAAAATCCGCCGGCGCCCTCCGCCTCGGACGGCGTCGGCAGTCGGCCGGCCCGCGGCGAGGGCGGTGCGACGCTCCTCTGTACCTGCCGATAGCGGCTCGCCGATGAATGGCGAGGTTTTCCCACAGTAGCCGGATTAATTGGCCGGTGCGCGCGGCCGACACGTGTGCTCGGGGCGGGGGTTCCCGGCGGCGGCGATCGGCGCCCGCGCCCGCCACACGTCCGGTGCCTATCTAGGGCGGCCAGCGCAGGCCGTCCCGGGCCCGGCCGGCCTACTCAGAACGCCACACTGGTCCGGCCGATATCAGTGCTCGTGCTATGAACGGGGGACGGGTGGCGTGTGCCCGCCGGTGTGCGCTGAACTTACGGCATTTTAGCAAACAGGGGCTTGGAGTTGGGATTGATCGTGATGAGCTGAAGTACTATACCAACGTACTAACTACACACTACGAGTGCGACAGGAGATAGATTATGACGCCGTCCAGCCTTCAGTAGCTATCGCTGTGGAATGTGGAATGCTAGCGAGATAAACGATTAAAGCGAAGAAACGCGTTGTTCCCACATCAGTTTACATTGCGTCGAGAGGATCGCGCTACCGAAGTACTCTGTTTTGTTGACATCCGTGTTGATATCGTCCTTCTTGACGTCAATATCAAAGAAATTTCCGGTATCGATCCTATTTGTCCCCGGAAAAATTAAGCTCTTGAGATGTGCTGCCCGCTATGTTGTCATAACACGTAACAGTCTCGTCTCTTGTTTCTGTTGAATCCGTTTGATCAGATGTCCGTGCTTATGTACGTGCGATTATCGGTTGTCTCTCCCTGCAACCGTTCGAGAGCGTGCTTTGAGAAAGCTTTGTAAAACTAGATGCGCTTACGTTTGATTTATCTTCAAAGTAGTTCTGGATAAGTAATTGGCGGTTCTTATGAAACAGTATCGTATCAACTGTCTTCTAACCATCAGCTGTTGTCTACTGTTGATAGCGAACTACTCTCGAGTACTCTGAACTGAAGGGCTGTGAGGAATTCGATGGCCTGGTTGCATTCTGAGTTCGGTTTCCTACCAGCAAGATTGAAACCAAGTTCATGTAACGAGTATCTTGTCGTGCAAGCTGATGTTTGGCGCAGACACGCATAGTTGAATGTAGAGATGTTTCAGCTAATTTATTGCTTCAGTTATTAAATCATGCACTCGTTTAGTTATAATATAACTTTCCATACACATTTCCCAGCAGCGCAACATTTACCTTCACCATTAACTATTTTGTCGTCAATACCATGTTGTCGCAATCCTCTAAAGCGTCATATATACCTAAGCGCAGCAGGCAGTCGCTTCCGTTCGTCACCGTGAACCAAACCCGGAAGCCGTTGACACACGTACGTCGCACACCGCCTGCGGTTACGTGGTGAGATATCATTCCCTGCTTCCTTTTACTATCGACCGTCCTCCCCGTAGCTCGCGTCCACCGTGGCCGATGCCGCCGACGGACGTCCTCTCCTTCCGTCCGTCCGTCGTCCTTTCTGGGACAGGTTCCGCTCCTGGAATAGCGCACGGGGCTGTCGCCGGCTAGACGGTGACGATGGAGGCGTCACCCGGGCACATACCGGTGACGTCACGTCACCTACACTCACCAGTGACGCAATGGGTGCGCTGAAACGCCGCTGGAAAACCAGTTGAGGATGGTGGTGCAAAAACGCGACGTCTTGGACGGCCAGTAACGGCTCGCACCGGGAAATTTTGCGCAACGGTAGCTATTTGTGGAGTTAGTGGAATGGTTGTAACTATTACAGTGATAGGGTGTTAGGTGTTTCCAGCTTAATCATGAGGTGAGATATTACTGTGAGCATGATATAACATGAAAAGGTGACACACCTTACTTAAAGTGATTGTTCTAAACATACCAGCTCCTTGTGTTCTAAACATACCAGCTCGTTGTGTATGTGTATGTTGTGTCTTATGTCTATGTTGGATGTAGGTATACTATGTTTCTTATTCACGTCATTTTCCCAGTTATTGCACACTACATACCTACATAGTGGTAAAAAAATCAGGCGGGGTTATTACTTGATCCTTTAGCACATCAGTTTATTTATTATCTTTCACTTCCTTATTCCACATGCCTCTCTTCTTGTGTGAGCTCGCGATATTTGCTGGCGTTGTTTTCCTGCTTAGGGGCACGAGCAAAGAATTTGCGGTAGTGTCATTAACCCGCGCCCCACTGGGGTCTGCGTATAACACGCCCTACTGGGGGGGGGGGGGGGGGGGGGGGGGCTATTCATAGCCCCCTCCTAACTCCGAAACTACTGGGCCGATCGTCAAAATTCAAACGGCGTCTGATAGCCCCGGAAAAACTGTCGGGCGAAACCTAATTTCATTGACCTCGAGGTCACCGATGACGTCACAGGTCAGGTCAAAGTAAAAATTATTAGCATTTTGGCTTGTTCACGTTTTGGGCTCTGGCCACCGTCTTACAAGTCAGATCAGGCTCATTTTTGGTTCACACACTCGTGAACAGATGCTCTAGATACCCTGAGGGTACCAAACTTGTATTTTGATTTTCAGGTCAAGGTCAGGTCATCACAGGTCACGAAAATATTATATCATGCGTCGGTCACGTGACACATGTTTTATGGTCCATTTAGGCCAAAGATTTCGAATATGATGTCGTCTGTGTCATTCGAGGTCATTTTGAGTCGAATTTAGCTTAGGTCAGGTCACTTTCAGGTCAAAAAAGGTCAAATTTTGAAGTTAAAATTTTTTCAACAGAAAAGGTGTCTATTGGATGCAGTTTGAGCTCAGGAACACGATGGTGCTATTTATATTGGCGTACGATGTCAAATACGTGCTGAAAAATTGATTTGAAAAATTAATAATTGTGAATTTTTTGCAATAATGCGTATAACTTGGCCATTTTTGAAGATATTGAGCTAAAACTTGCTAGAGTTAGTCATAATAACGCGTTCTATCACATATATTCCGGTTTTTTCGAAAAGTTAAAAAATGTTTGAAAAAAATGTAAAAATGTAAATTTTGAATTTTATTATATAAAATTTTCGAAATTTTCAAAATTTCGAAAATCCGAGATAGCAGTTTGATAGCACAGTCTATTCTGAGTCCTCTCATGCAAAGAAATTGGATCTAGCTTAAAAACTGAGCCCTTGGGAGCGATTGCCGTGGTTCAATGTTTTGCGTCGAAATCGGCCGAACATGACGTCACTCTGACGTCATTTCCGGCCGACCTATGGTAGCTACGAAGTTCAAATTTTGACACAAGGTGTCAAATTAATGCAGCCGAAGGTACTGAAAGTTTGGCGTCGATACGTCAAGCGGTTTGTAAGTTATTGCAGAAAAACGGGAGGGGGGCTATAAATAGCCCCCCCCCCAGTGGGGCGCGGGTTAACAACCAACCCACAAGCCCTCCTCTTACAACAGAACTCCGTCTTTTTACGTTGCGCCGCGCCGCTGGCTTATTTTCGAGGAAGTGCGAATACCACCTTCGAGAGAACCGACATTCGGAATCCGTTACGGTTGCAGTATTTACATGGGATCAAACTTACAATCCGACTATTTAGGGTATATTTCTGAGAGTATCCATCAGCAGAGACTTTTGTTTAAAGCTACAGGCAACAAACGGTATATCCGCATATGCCTATGTATTTCACTTGATGTTACCCCGGAACATCAATATGGTTAAGAAAATGGCGGCTATGTGAAACAGGCATGATGTGTAAGTGCGATATGTTTTGCAACATATTAATGCGTTATTTTGCATACCTACATGTAAATATGTTAATGTAATGGTATAGTGATAGAGGAAGGAGGAAAGAAGAGGGAGAGGGAAAAAGAGAGAGAGTGAGAGAGAGAAAGAGAGAGAGAGAGAGTGAGAGAGAGAGAGAGAGAGAGAGAGAGAGAGAGAGAGAGAGAGAGAGAGAGAGAGAGAGAGAGAGAGAGAGAGAGAGAGAGAGAGAGAGAGAGAGAGAAGGACTATACCACCAAGAGGTACTTACCCGCCTGGTCAAGCTTTGGTGTGCCGTGTAAGCATTCGGTTATATCAACATTTGCCTACTGCCAGGGACTATTTCTCACCGTTTGCGTTACAATGAGAAACAGCCCACGGCTCTCTACCAGTCCCTTATTATGTTTGTTCGGAACAATCGGTAACAGCTTCTGCCAATACTCCTGCAATTTTGTACGGGGCGGTGAAAATAAAATTAGAAACATGATGTTATAAAGTTTCGCATCGTGGTCACTCCTATTTATCAACGGGTTCTTGTGTCTGCCTACCTAAGTACTTGGTAGATTATATAAGTACAAAAGTTCCTCCATCATGCTTGACAGGTATGCTGGGATATTGCTTATTTAATTATCGTTTCAAATTTGAGGTATTGTTTTCTCGCTTATTTTAACCGCGTGATACACGTTGAAGCTCTCAGCGTATTCGTGAAAAAAAAACAGCGAAAACGATTAAGCCTCCCCTATCAATATTTACATCGGTTATTTATCCGTTGCGGAACCTTCTGTTTAACTTGTTTATATAAAGAATGCTGAACATTAAAACCATCGATAAGTAGTCAAGTAAAATCTACTAAAAGTTATTTAGGTCCTGATGCTCACATCAAAGCCTATTCCACAGCAAAACAATGTTAGGAACAAACGTAATTTAAAGTCGGTCCTTTCGCCGTTTTGACGCAAT